AAAGTCAAACTTTGCTAAAAGTTGCGTTGGCGTTTGGAAGGAAATTTTTATGTAGAATGTAGGCAACTTCTTGACTTATTTCTCCTGCGAGTTGCGCAAGAAGTAGAAAGAGTTTTATTTCATGTTGATGTTCGAAATGGAGTGCATATGCCAACAAGAAAAAACACATTTTCATAACATTAGTTAGGTACTGAACCTGTTGTAGAAGACTGGTGAGTACCTACCTATATTTTTCAATATACCGAGCATATGATTTTGTTTTCTATCACGTTATAGAAGTATGATCAATTGGTATTTTTTTGCACGACGAACATCGAGTTCCCACATACAACTTGACTTTTGTCCCTTACTAATATGGTGGATTTAGGTAAAGGTATCATTAGTCTCAGGAAATAGGAAGTTCAGTCATTGCTTTTCAATATTGGTTAAGTGATTCTGAGGACGTTCTTAGAATATTCCCGTGAAAGAGTTCGAATATTCTCAGAATGTTCTCACAAGGTGCACTGAACGTTCTGAGAACATTCTAAGAACATGCGAATGGGACGAAAATTCACGTTCTCAGTATACAGGGTACGTATTTTAAGGCACATAGAAAATATTTCAGCGATCGATACAGGGGGAAAATATTCGAAACACTACGAAAAATAAAAACTTCAAATTTCTGAGTAATAACTCGAAATTTTAAGATTCTGAGTTATATAACTCGGGTGTAGGGTAGGAAGAAAGTAACTGGAAGAAAAAACGGTGAATTTGAATTCACGAAACCTTATTGCTACCGGAGATGAGCATCACAAGTTTTATCAAAATCAGTGGAAAGAATTTTAAATAATAAAAAAATAATCGTTTTTTTTCTGAAAAATTTGCCCCCTGTTTATAAAAACCGAAGCAAGTTAGGACGCATATATCTGAATAATAAATTATATGAATATACCTGGGGAACATTTCTATAGAATATTTGAACAAAACATTCTATAGGAACGTCCCTAGGATATTTGGAGGAAATATTCTATGAACATTCACGTGAAAAATTCTATGAACATTCAGAATATCCTCGTCCTATTCCATGAACGTTCCTCAGAATAATCTGAAAGAGGTATGTTGTGAACGTTGTGAGAACATTCATAGAATATCCTGTGTTGTCTGGCTAAACGTTATACATACATGTCATAAACAGTGATTAGTTTTAAGTCATTAGAAAAGTTGGCCAACATTATCTTATTATACGACTTACGAATTAAAACTCATGACTATAACTTATTGCCATTTGTAATCTTTTGTTTTGTTCAAATTTGCTTTATTCAAATCCAAAAAACACATACACAAACACATAATTGTAACTGCTGAATATTAGGAAGAAAAAAACAATTCTATGGTACTTGCTTAAACATGTGGGTATAAAATTCGAGATGAAACTGATAAATAATGAGCTAATGAAGGGGTGCTTCTCTTATGATATGACAGTTGAACGACTTAAAATTCAAAAAGTACCTAGGGTAAAGTACGGATAGATGCCGCGGGGGGATAGATGACGCAGACCACATGACGCGAAAACTATGTTACACCTGACAACAACTCTCGGCGGAATGGAAGAGCTATTCGGCCATTATTGTTTTGCATGCGGTGGATGCTTCGATTGAGCAACTGTTGAACTTGAATTGTGGGAATAAAGTTGCTAAGATGTACTTTTATTGCTTAATATTTATTTGTATGTTGTTAATAGTATTGGGGAAGAGAGTTTGAAATACAAAATGGGATAATTTGACTTTTATAGCGTTATATAGGGCATATTCAAGATTTTGTTTTGTATTCTCGACTACAGAGTCATAAGGCGCAGGCGTAGGCTAGTGAGGCATCTATCCGTATCAAAAAGGAGAGATGCCGCACTTTTTGATACGGATAGATGCCACAAAAGTTTCAATAATAAAATAGCATAATTTTATATTTTACCGATCATAGAACATCGAATAACTTCACATCCGACAGCGAAGATGAGATTCCCTTATCCGATTTGATGGAAAACCAAAATCCTGAATCAGCCAAGCCAGATACCGACAAAAATTTTTTTTGCGTGAAATGTTTTGAGAATCACAGTAAAACCTCCAAGACAGTAGATTGGATATTCTGCATAAGATGCAACCCATGCAAACGTGCAGAACTACAACAATAAATTGCGGCATCTCTCCCTTATGGGAATTAACATTGGGCATCTCTCCGCATGGCTGTAGGCATCTCTCCGTACCTGGGGGGGAGAGTTGCCAGAAAACACTTTTTTTTTCGTTATTTTTTTTTAGTAGTAGAGTTTCTTTTATGTTGTTTTAGGACCAATATTTCAATGAAAAATAGATGAAAGAATGATGGTATGTTTTTTGAAATTCATATTTTTTGTTGCTCGAGTTTTTATATTTTTTTTACAAAAAGTGCGGCATCTATCCGTATTTTACCCTACTCAAAACAAAATGACTTGAAACTGCTGCATAAATCCACCATTACTTGAGATGAATGTACCTACTTCTCTTCTAGTAAAGTTCGACAGTTCGACCCAGTTATCTATTATTGATATAACGTGGGTCAATTAGTATAAGTAGTGGTCATTCCCTTCCAAATCAAATTATTTGCAAGTAGGTGGTTGGGTAGGTACCTAGGTACTTTACTTACCGAATCGTCTGATATTCTTCCCACACTCTAATAATCCACATTTACGAGGCCCATAGACGTCTCCTCGGACATTGCTTGAGGGTATTTACATGTACTATGACACAGTTTAATCACTAGTTATGTATTTCCATTAAAATTTTGTATCCATATAATCATCGAATCGACTCGTGGAACGTGGCATCTTAGTTTTGGTTGGGCAGAAGACTAAAACGTCAATGTCATTCGTGGTCCAGTCACTGAATAGCGGAAAATCTGAAGGGTATCTCCCATGCAGTAATGAATTTGCGCCTTCGAATTATTGCCCACCTCTGATGTTGGGTGAGATAACTATTCGTTATTTTCATTTTATCATCTGAATTCTAAATAATCCGAGACTTGCGAGTCCCAAAAGATAGATTTTAATAATTAATATCCAAGCCACCGAGGTATATAGAAGTTTCATGTCTGATTGTTGGATATCTTGTGCGTGATGAAATTATGGTAAACTAACGGGGGTAACGAATATCAAAGCGCAGATTATAAAGACTCCCCATCAATGGTGCCGGCAGTCAGTATCCCACTACTTGATCTTCTGTTCTGTGCCCATGATAATGCCCTCAAAATAGTCCTAGACTAGTACTTCGCACTCGCAGAGTTTGTTTGTTTGACAATACCAGTCTATAGGTATTGTCATTTGAAAGTTTGTTTCAATAATAATTCTTCGAAAATGTTCAATCTGTTTCAATATAGGTGTGGATGGAATAGGATCGGGTAATAGATATTACAAATAATGAGACATGGGTGCCGAGAGGGGAGGAACCCTGGAAATGTAGGTACCTTTATTAAAAATATTGGTTGTAATTTAAGATGATTTTTATTTTGTTTTTTGTAGTAATTTGTCTCGTAGTTAGTTTTGTGTACTGTGTTCATCAAGGTGTTCCCTGTGTCCTTACAAAGCAAGAATAACACAACTATATTTCATTCTATGAAAATTGGTTAGTATGTCTCGAGTTGGTGTAGGACGTAGATCAACGTAGGTACCACCTGTGGTACATAAATGTATGTACCACTGGTGGTAACATTATTATTTGCGGTGGTACACATCAACAGACTTGAAACGCAAAAATAGGACTAAAATCAACACCAAATATAATAAAATGAACAAATATCGAGCAAAACATATAAAATGTTTGCATGTTATTTACAATTATTCAAATGAACTAGATTTTTTTTGGAGCGCACCAAAGGGAATCCCTATGAGGATCAAATAACATCGTGCGTAGAGAGGAACGGGAGAGTAGGTAGGTATTGGGATTTTGTTTGAACTGTTTGAGGTTATTAGTTCTTGGGAATACATCAATTGGCAAATAATTACAAAGCATTGCTGTTCTGTAGACGAACCAGTTTTCGTAAAGTGTTCGACTTATTCCATCAAGGTTGACAACGAAAGGATGTGCTGACTGGGTACTGGGCTTGTCGAGTTCGCCGGACTGGTATATTGCTAGTGATGGAATAATAAAGTGAAGACTTTTCTACAGTGTCCAGGGGAATGGCTCTTCTCTAGATGGAATCTAAGAAGGAGAATATGAATAGGTGCGTTCTTAGCATAGTCAACCTGTTTATGGTAGATGCATTCCTATTGTTTCGAATGGAAAAGTCTTATTGGAACCAATTTATGCAATTGAATTTTCAGGATCAAATCGATATCGTGCTAGTCTAGAAAAAAACTTAGCAAAATGACTCTATGTGTATCTGTGGGCTCATAGTTTCAGGGCAAATAGTTATGTAACTGGAATAGCATACAATCATAAAATCCATTGAATCCAATAAGAACATATGGTTTCAGCAAAGCATTGGAATGGTATTATAGGAACACAGTTTGACCATGTTTGACAAAACAGCGTTCAGGGAAATGAAGATTCTCAGAAACTGAAGATCCATCTCTTTTTTGAGTTATAAGTGAAGAAACAAATTCGAGAACTTTGCTTTTGCTGAAGTCACAAATTCTGTCATTATTCCCCCCTCTCCTCCATGCACTCTACACCTCGCTTTTAGCATATTTGTTGATTGCTGCTCACTCATAATCATGTTTCCGCGAACCCAAATTGACATAAATCGATGTTATAAGAATAATTACAGTTTTCAGGCGAGTTATTTATAAGTGATAATTTCAGGCACTTGTTGAACTGTGCTAGTAGATTATGCTGGTGGTTGGAACTTTCAATAACTCTCCTAATTGTCAATATATAATATTTTCATGGAAAAAAAAACAAGTGTTATCGGAGCACCCGGATTATTATGTACACACGAAGTCGTTTACAAAAAACATAAACTTGCAGTTATCTAATCATTGTCAAGGGTATTAACTAAAGTGGTGTTATTGCATATTGTGTGATAATGAATTTTTTCATCATTTGTTCCAGTGAAATTTAGTATGTACAAATTATATAGAAAACTCTCGGACGGAAAATAGTTGCAGTGAGTTGATACCTATACATTTTTACGCATTTTTATTATTCTAAGAAGATCGAGAAGAGTAAGCATAGAAAATAATTACTCTATAACGAGATAAAGCGCTGAATATTTTTTATAATGAATATAGGATTGTGTTTTATCAAAGATTACTGAATGTTTTTATGCCACCAAGCATAAAATATCAGTACAGTCATCAAGTTTTTCATCAGTTGAGTAAAAAGATGAGTATCAGTGTTTGCCATTCTCAGTTTCAAATCCAAATTGTCACACATCTTCAAATTGTTGTTTTAAATAAGACAATGGAGTTCTACCCCCTCGAATTTACGCCAGATACCACATACCAATTTTATATTGATCCTTCCATCTTCCATGTATAAATAGTAGGTATTTGATATAGGTATATATTCATTATTCAAAATCCTCAGAAATACTCTTTTCCAGTAATCACATTATCTCTCAAATGTCTCAAGAACATGCATTACCACAAAACAAGAATTATTCACTTCCAACATACAGGTGTAGATTATAGATTTCAATAATTATTTGAAAAATGTACGAAGCTCTGTAGAAGAAACGGTTTGTGACAGTGAATTAGTTTGTGTAACTTCCCCGAAATAACGAAATGATTTTTTTTTCACTAGAACAGGTTATCGATTATTTTGAAGTGCCATATATGTCTAATCACACTGTGCATTAATAAATACAGGGTGTCCGGAAATTATGCGCAAAAAATCAAGGGGGTGATTCTGCATGAGATAATATAAAATTTATTTCATATATACTTGAGTCCGGAAATGCATAGTTTTCAAGATACAGTGTGTTAAACTTTTTAGAAAAAATGTTATTTTTATGAATATCTCGAAAATTCATTCACCAATTCTCTTGAAATTTGGTTATGATATTCTTTGTCATGAGGGGCTAATTTAGCCATTTTTAAATTAGGATAGTGAAATCCAGTGGCGTCCCGGGGGCACCCTACCGAATATTTTTGTCAATGAAATGTGCGCCCCTGATTTTTTCAAATTCTTCATCTCCATATCCTAATGATTAACTAAAAATACAACATTTTAGTCCCTTGAATTGTTTTGCAATTTTGCTGCGTTTCCGTGGAAAAAAATAAATACCAATTCATTGTATAAATTTGTGCAAAACATTGCTTCACAAACAGGGGTGAAATGAATTGTGTTATCCATGTCCATAGGCGTAGAATAAGAATTGAGATTCATTTTCTTCAAATATTTTATAATACATGTTTGACACACTTTGTGTTATCGAAAACTCCCTAATAAAACACTTATGTCCCATGGATATCCTTTGGACGCCCTGTCGGGACATTCAGGACGTCCATAGGACGTTCGAATTTGGTACCGTGGACGTCCATTGGACGTCTGCCGGACGCACAAATATCCCACTTGAGGACCAACTAGGGACGTCCTTGAGGGATGTCCCTGGGACAACTATCGAATACCTAAATCCGACAGTATTCCTCATCAACCACTACAGAGGACATCCTTAGGACATTCATGGGACAACCTATCAGCAACGCTGAGGGATATAAATTGGATGTCCATAGGACGTCCCAAGGACGTACGAATTATTCTTGAATTTAGATTCTTCTGGGTCCCTTTAGGACCAGATCTTGCATAACTGATTAGGACATCCAATTGAGTTGATGGTCCGTAGAAGGTCCCCAAAAAGTTTCCCAAGGATGTCCAATGGACTTACGTGAAGGACATTGACGAGGAGTACTTATGGCCTACGAGCAATCATTCGTCGGCGAGGTGTAAGTTAACGTCCTAACAGGGACAACATATTGAAAGTACCGACTGGGGCGTCCATTGGACGTTATTTCTAGGACATTGGAAGAGTACAGTTCATGTACCAATCGGGATATCCAACGGATATCCCTATGGAACATTCGAAGGATGTGCCTAAGGGACATTTCGATTGTTATACGATCCAGGAAATATTAAGGGCGTCTGTGCAGATATATTTACAGGAATGTACCAACAGGGACATTTCATGGTTGTCTAGAAGGGACATTATATAAGACCTGAAGTCATGTCAGAATATGTACAACTCGAGCCATCCGATGGATGTCCCTAAAGAAGGTTTAAAATCATATCCCATCAGGAAAATGTCAAGGACGTCCTTGCATGGACATTCTACAATTTGTACCACGTGGGACGTCTAAAGGATACTATTTCTAGGACATTTGGAATGATGTACCAGCTGCGACATTCCGTGGACGTCCTTGCTCGAACATTGCATGAGATGTACGGGATGGGACGTCCCAATGACACTCATTTTTGGTTCGGGACATTCGGACGTGAATTGTTCCAGATAGGGACGTCCCTAGGACGTTGTGTGCTATTAGGGCTACGCCTTCCTGGACCGAGAATACATAGTTCTCAATATACAGAGTGTAGAGTGTGTCAAACATGTATCAAGGAATATTTGAAGAAAATGAATCTTCATACATATTCTCTATCTATGGACATTGATGCCGCATTTATTTTTACATCAGTTTTTTGAGGAAGTTTTTGGCACAAATTTATGCAATAAATTGGTAATTATTTTTTTACATGGAAATGGAGCAAATTATCAAAATAATTCAGGAGTCCAAAATGTTGTATTTTTAGTTGATCAATAGGTTATGAAGATACAGAATTCAAAAAAATCAGTGGCGCACATTTGATTGGCAATAATATTCGGTAGGTTGCCCCCGGGACGCCACTGGATTTTATAATTCCAATTGAATTATAGCTATATCAGCCCCTCATGACAAAGAATATCATTGCCAAATTTCAAGAAAATTGGTAGAAGGACATTTGAGATATTCATAAAAAACCGATCTTGTTTAAAAGTTTTAACACACTGTATGTTGAAAACTATGCATTTCCGGACCCACGTACATATAGAAAGAATTTCTCATTTCATCATGTAGAATCACCCTCTTGATTTTTTGCGCATAATTTCCGGACACCCTGTATGTCATGAAGAAAACTCTGTGACATAAATTATGTTATTTTCGATTACTTTCGAGTGGTTTACACGTCACTAAACAATGAACAAGCTCATTGATAATTGATTAACCGTAAATTAGTCCATCTATAGTTGGTTGCTCCCACTCTCGTTTTTCTCGAGGAGTCAAGTTGACAAGGTCCGGACCTGCAATTAAGTTCATATATCGGTATCAGAGTAAACGAGTGATAGTTTTATCGGTATTGTTGGTGATTTGGTGCGATACTTAAATATCAATATGGCTTAGATCTGACCGATAAAATTTGAAAGGTACATAGGTAAGGATACTCAGGTAAGTACGTTTGTATGATTCTTATATCATTAGGATAATGCACTCCAATCCCTCAAATCAGAAGCTATATCACAGCTTCCCTTGTTCAGATTTCGCTAATTATTTTGTTATCGAAAAACAATGCTTGATTTGGAACAATATACAGTTCGTTCCGAAATTACATAGAAATATTCAAACTAAAAAAAGTGTATATAAACATGAGTCCAGAAATGGTCTCTTAGGGGGTTGAAGTCATCTGAAGAGGAACCCGATATGAAGATTTTTTGTAAATATTTTCGAAATTATTCGTGCCTGAATAACCAAATTCTGTACATGCACCCAACATTTTATGCCCAATTTGAAAATGTTGAAAAATATTTCGAAATTTTGATCAAGGGCATGGGAAATAGTCGGGGTTAGGGGCAATTTTTCGTCCAAGTTTTTTGTTTATACAATTTTCAGCATTTTGAGCAAAAAATATGAAAGACCTAACATTTCTCCTTGAAAATGATAGTCGATAGCATATAAATCGATTTCAAAATTCTGTTGCTCATTAGAAATAATTATTTTCCCTTGATTGGGTACCGAATATTTTCAAAAACTATGGTTTGATGGAAAATAATCTATCGTCTGAAATTAACTTTTTATGTTTGATATGAAATAGGTACCCCTATTAAGAAAAAGTACTTCTTTTATTACGCAGCAGACCATCAAAATCGATTCAACTCGAAAATGATGAGTTCAATCCGAGTTCAATCGATACTAAACAAGTGTATACCATTTTCAAATAAAAATGACGATATATTCATATTTCCTGGTCAAATTGCCAAAAATTGCATAAACAAATCTGCAGTTGAAACCTTCCTATGTAATTTCGGGTGTATATCGGTTCCTTCATACCTACTCCCTGAGATAATGGCCACGTTTATACCGTGAGAATATTGGTGGACGATTGGTCTTGGTAAGCTGACCAATGACTATATTTTGACTAAATACTCTTGGTCAGTGTGGTGCAAACTGTATACTTGGTAAAGTTACCAGCTTGGTTTGGTACCAAAATGTGTTGCGTACCAGACTAAAATAGTATGATGACCAAGACGGTGGCAGTTATTTCATGAGTTCTCATAATAATATTTCATTCAATCTCAGCTAATTTCGTATCCTACTTAAAGATTTTATTCTTAATTCACGAATTCAAGTGGAGTTCCACAACATAACCTCAAAAAAATAATCAAATTAAAAAAAAGTTGGTGAGCATGCGTTAATATAAGGCATTTGGTCTGAATTTAGTTAGATCTCCTTGGTAAGCATGCCAACTATCCATAGGGTATAAACGTGGCCAGTGACTAGGTACTTTCAATGTATAAAAGTATGAAAATATCACCGAAGGGACATAAATAGTAAGTACCTGAGCATATCATTGCATATTCCCCTTCAGGCTGTATTTTTTGTCGTACTATATCTGGCAAATGATCCGAGGTTGATTGAATTAGACAAAAGAAGCCTATCAGGAGTCAATAAAATGATGTCTGTAAAAATGCGAAGTACACTCGTCTTCAGCGAACATGTCGCGGTTGGACGGTATGAGCGCTCTTATTGCAGCGGTGATCAAGGGAACTAGACACCGTCCATGTGCGACATGATATCTGGAGACGAGTGTACCTATACCTATAACGACTATCACGTATCGTTTTCAAAATATACAGGT